GCTGGGCAGCTGAAGATGTGATGGTGAGACAGTGGGATGTCATCTGGGCAATGAGGACAAATGTTGGTGTAACTACGCTGTCCGTCTGCAGAAATCTTCATCCCTTTTAAGTGATTTATCCTAAGTCTGGTTATGATACCCTTTTCTTTCTCACCCCTTTTCTTTGATTATTGCGGTGGGATCTTTCTTGGTACAAGGCTGTAAGAGATTTAAATAAATTTTTGTTTGGGATATGGCTCTGTCACAGTTTAATTCCAGGATGGAGTTTCCCTTAACTTGACCAATTAGTCTTTGGCTGGCAACTGCATTGGGATCAACAAGGGTTAGGCAGTTGGATGGCTGAGGAGAATCATGGGATGCCTTTGCAAGCTCATCGACGTTCCCATTACCAAAAATATTTACATGAGCCAGTATCCATTGTAAGATGCAGGATCTTTGGGCGGCAATGATTTTGTTTGTGAGCTCAATGATCTGATGACTGAGTTGACATTTGCCCTTCTGGATCGCTTGTAATGCTGATCTGCAGTCAGAGAAGATGATGATGCCCTTGGAATTCTGGTCTTCTTTAGAGAGAGAAATCTCCAGAGCACTTTTGATGGCGATGAGCTCGCATGTATAGTTGGAGGCGATTTTCCCAACAGGAATACTGTGGCATTTCTGCACTCCATCTGGTCCGATGAAAAAGACTCACGCTCCTCCTCTGCTCAGATTGGAGTCGGAAGAGCCGTCTGTGTAGGCGATCGTCAGATCTTGAGTTGAGGTCGGAGTTCTTCAATGGTTTGGTCACCCCTTTTCTTTGATTATTGCGGTGGGATCTTTCTTGGTACAAGGCTGTAAGAGATTTAAATAAATTTTTGTTTGGGGGAGAGGGCACAGAATGTTGTAAGGTTCTTTGAAAATCCTGAGTCTCATATTTGTGGTTGATGACATTTCTGATATCTTGGTCATGTTGGAGGGTTGAGGATCTCTTAAGCCTGCAGTTGTCACTCCATGCCCTGAAGGTTCTACTTGAGATATGATGTTCAACAAGGGTTTGTATTTTGTTGGTAAATTTAATTGTTATTAATTTTCTTCTGCTCTCCCAAGGGGGCGAGGCCACATTCCTTTTCAATTTTGATGTTATTTGTTGATGAAACAGCTTGAGTGATGATTTTAGAGGCCCTATATTGAACAGCGTCGATCTTTCCCTTAGCAATAGGCTTTGCCGATGCCCATATGGGTGCTGCATAATCTAGAACAGGCCTGACGATGGAAATGTAAGTATTCTTGAGGGTTTTTGGTCTTGATCACCACAAAGTCTTTTAAGGATATTTAGCTTTTTCAGTGCCTTTATTGAAACATGTTCAAGGTGTTTAGAGAATCTCAACTCTGCATATAGAGTCAGTCCAAGAAACTAAAATGTAATATTGAAGAAATAATAGATGCTAAATCTGTATAGACTTTTTTTGTTTATTTTTGAGATAAAGTGGAATTTATGAAGCAGGTGGATATTCAAATTTTATTTAGTAAGACCTTTTCAAGAGTTTAGTTTAAAAATTATTTGATTTATTAAAAATAAATTTTAACTTAATGATTTTGGAAAATAGAAGGAAATTTGTCTAAAATCATTATTTTTTAATCTAAAAATGTTTTGGTGGTTGTCTACACTAATTACGAGAAAGCATAGAAAAATATTAAAAGCTGAAAAAGTAAAGATTTAGGAGAAGAAAATTTATATTCTTTAGTGTCAGAAAATAGGTTTACAAATATAGTTTTCTCAAAAGGTGATTTATGTCCATGCTAGTTTATGAACACAATATCTAAAAAAAAAAAAAAAAAAAAAAAAACTTAATATAAATTTTAATTTAGAAGTCAAACAACAAAAATCAGCGTTATATTTTCAAATTTTTTGTTTTGATAGTTTTACCGAACCATCATCCTCAGCTGCAAAAACACAAATGAGCTTTTGCAGCTGAGGATGGATGGTTCGGTAAAACTATCGAAACTGTAAAAATTCGAAAATATAACACTGATTTTTGTTGTTTGACTTCTAAATTAAAATTTGTTCAACATGTTATTGTATCTCAATATAAATTTACTTGAAAATGTCACCAACTATAGAGCAAGAACTCAAAGCATAGTAAATTAGAAGTTCTAATACTTAATTAGGCAGTTTAGTTTATTTGATATAAAAAGTCGCACTATTCTAATATTTTTAGAACAAATTATGATTCATGCATGGAAAAAAATTCCTTAATGTATTTTTATTCAGTATTTTCCAGTTAATGAAATTATAATTATTGTCAGAAAATGATATTTATGTATAAACCAAGCTAGTTCGAGTACAACTGAAAACCGAACACCAGTGCTAAAATTTGGATCCTATCTCTTCTGCTGTCTCTATAGAAATAATTTTTTCCTCCTCCAAAATGAACAACCCACAATTCTGTTGCTTATTTCATTATCTGTTCAGAATCCTTTAACAGAAATTGGAGCTATTCAAAGCCCCTAAAAATCTGAAGTGCCTGTAAAGCAACTAACACAGGAACGGGATCCTGCTAAAAAAAGTAAAGTACAATCTTGCAAACTCAACGAGTAGCAGCCATAGTGAGAACAAATTTTCTGTGTTCTATGTTCTTATATTTTGTAAGTTTTCCGACGGCTGCTGCAGAGCATTGGAAAAAATTGCGTATGTACACTGTGCCCCCCGCTAAAAAAAGGACAGTTCTTTATCTCCCATTCTATTGAGCCAGTTGACAAAATTCAAATTGTGTTTTTCATGCCTCGAATGTGCTACTTAAGATATATATTAATATATATCATTGTTTTAATATAGATATTTTGACACAAAATCGGACTTTTTCTGAAATGACATGGCAATCTTTTTCCATATTTCGATTCTATGACTCGAATTATGCCTAAATATTAAATTTTGTAAAATTTGGTGTGAAATTTAAGGAGAAATTAAAAAAAAATTTTCTCGGGGGACATTTTTGTTCAGTTTGCGCCAAGAATAATGCGCTTGGCGAAATTCTTAATTTTTAATAACCTATTTTCCTTTCCTTTTTTTTAATGTACATGAGAGGGGAAAAAAAGTCTTCATTCATTACTTCAGTAGTAACCCTCAGGTGCCATTGTGTGTTGTCCAGCAGTTAGGGAAAATTCAATTGATTAACCTTGTGAAAGCCAGCTGTCCTCAGCCATTTGGAACTATCGTCGTCAAGCTGTATGCACGCTACTTTGTACAACTCCTGCCATGAATTGCTGTTACAGTAGTTTAATTGCCATTCTATTTTCGACATCGTTAGCCGGAGTAATTTAATAACGCAGACTTATTTATACTTCACACGAGAAATTTTATTCTCAATTAAAGACTTCAGATATTTTATGCTATATAAAGTCATGTAATTTCTATCCATTACACTCAGCATGCGGCTTTAGCCCAGGAGCCTGAACTATGTGACTTTTGCACCTAAGTCTTCAAATAATTTTAACAAAATGCTTAAACCACATTTGGCGTTATCACTCAAGGAAAAAAAGAGGCCTAATTTCAAAATGAACCAATATGTAAATTATTGTATATCTTAGAAAATGTTAAATAAAATACTCTAAGGTGGGCCTAGAAATACATCTACTTTAAGATGCGTTACAAATTTAAGTTATAATACAGAAATTTTTTCGAAAAATTTATTAAAAATATTTAAAAATAACTTGTAAAAAATGGGTGAATTTTATTTGGAATGAACCTAAATTTCAAACTGTGAATGAAGAAATCAAGTAATTGTAATGAAAAAGAGATATTAATTAATATATATATCAAATTCAATTTAATATTGAGGAGCTAAAATTTTGAGAGCTAATTTTTTAAAAAACTTGGCAGTTTGGCATAATTTGACTCGTACAATCGAAATATGGAAAAATATTGACGTGTCATTTCAGAAAAGTCCGATTTTGTGTTAGAATACTTATATTAGAACAATGCTATATATAAATCTAATACATATCCCAAGTCGCGCTTTCAAGACATGAAAAACGCAAGTTGAATTTCGTCAATTGGCCTAGGAGAATGGGATATATTTAACTGTACCTTTTTTTTTTGCGTAGTGTACTAAAGAAATGGGCTCTTGAATGGTGATATTTAAAACTAATTTGGTTTTTTGCTAAATGTCTTTTACCATTCCTTTATTACAACATACACAAAATTTTGAATTTTTCTAAATGATTGGTTATGGCTGTAGGACAGTCCTGAATATGGGAACTTTAATTATAAACACCTTGTATATAATAAATTTAATTACATTTTTTGAAAAAGTTGTCTTCCATGGTTATACACAGTGTGTGACAATTTAAATCCTGGAATGCATCTTTAAAAAAATTATATGTGGAAGTAATGATCACTAGTGAACAGTATTCCCACTTCTGAAAGCAAGCCTAGACCTTGTTTTACAGAATGTTATTTTAGTATTTGTCTCACATTCTGCTTTTTGTGAACTGTATTTTTCAGAATCTTTGCTTAATTTGCTCCACACCATGCTTAATTTTGGACGTAGCTAGAAGTGACAAGAAAATACTTCAATTTAATGAACAGGATAATGTAATTGGATAATCCCCCCAGAAAGTTTCATATAAGGAGTATATTGTGACTATGCGTGTGATGCATAAACATCACATTAAATTTTTTGCATGTCAAGTTCTTCAGTTAAAGTTAGTAAACTTCTGAATTAATGAGTAATTTTATCAGTTATCAATCTCACAAACAGTCATTAGAAACAGTCATTAGACTGTATTATATCACAACCTGTAAATATTAATGTCCATAGTTTGCTTTTAGGTTCATCTGGCACATCCCAGAGTCTCTTACACAAATCAGATAGACTTGATTTTTTCACCATTTGCATTTTCAATGGTTCTAACCTATGAGTAGCACTTTTTCTAGTTTTCACAGAAATCCAATTGGCCATTTTTACCTCAAAGTACACATGCAGATATTTATTGTATTCCAAATAACTCAACACATGACATTATCATTCAGAAATATTTTATTTCTCAATTATCATAACTAACACCTATCTTAAAATTTACTCATACATTGAGACATGTTTAAACACAAATACTCACGATTTCGATATAATTATGCAATGGGCTACATTAATTGGCAATTCTGGGAATTAAATTGTTACACTCTGCATGTGCACATTAAAAATTTAATTTTACCATGAGTATAAATATTCATTTTAGCATAATTGTTTTAATGGAAATAAAAAGTTCTAAGTGTTTAAAGAAATGAAAATGAGAAGTTCAAATGAAACTCCCCATCAAATATATTACAGCAAAAACAAAATGTATCCCCCAAAAAATATTTATTTACAATCAATAGACAAACTGAAATATACAGTTTATTTCACAGTTTTACATTTAATCAAACTTTTCAGATTAGAAACAAAAATCAGACCTAAGACACTAATCTGTAAAAATGGTGTAGAAAAATATAAGAACTATACATCTAGCAATATTTCGAAACAAAGTATCACAAATATAGCAAATAAAAGAAAATATACAAAACATTTTTTTGTTTCAAGTTATCTTGCAAAGATCATGGCACATAAGCATGTAATAAAGCTATTTTTTAATTTACATATTCAATCATGCATTAAAATTATAAATCAGAAATTAAAAATAATTCATATTTGATTGCTACAAATTATATAAACACATTACTTTATAATTTCAGCTTCAAATATAACACTTCAGTATTGTCTATAATTTATAACTCTTCTACATATCCAAATAACTGCTGTGCTGTTTTCTATAGAAATGCTCACAAACTTTTTATTAAAAAAATAATTTTGTATACACTTCTATACTGTATATAGTTTAAATAGTTTTACACATGTAATATGACAACACTTTACTTTATAGTTTAAGAATAATAATAATATAAATCTTAACATTTTGCATCTGTTTTCATTTACACATAAGCTGATAAAAAAAGTTAATTCAGCTAGAAGTATATAATATCTGATGCATACCTTTTTCTTAACGAATTATTTTACAGCTTTAGATTAGATTTTAATTATAAAATGTTAAGCTTTAATCACTACAAGAAATCCACATTTTCAATAGAACAAGATTAGAATTATTTATATAAATCATAACACATGCAAATAAAGTACCTGAATTCAAGAATTTAATTTTTAGATGGATTTAAGTATACACTTTTTTATGTGAGGTATATTTCAAACTATGTGGCATGAATTCTGTATAACTGTTATAATTAATGTTATGAAAAAAGAACAGGATGCAAATAAATATAAAATTTATTATTTCTTGGCCAAAATTTATCGAAATATGAAACCTTTCATTGAAAAAAATATCAAGCAGATCTATTTTCACTTACTAGTATTCTACTTGAGGCATTGAATAGTTCAATATCGTAGATGTAAAATTCAGTACTCATATAGCAAACTTAATGCTTCAGCTGCTCTTATTCTTACATCAGATGACTGGTCTTTTAATAAAATAAGCAAGGCTGCAATATAAGAAAACATTTTTGGATAAAACAGTTTTCAGTGATAAACACATATAATACATTTTCACCATGGATCTTTTCCCTTTATATAGCATAAACATCAGAATATCTGAACCTATATGAAAACTTCAAATTTGAATTAATCTAAACTCATTGTTTGCAATTTTCTTAATCTGGTGATCTCAGCCTCTGGATCAATTTTATCTCTTTATGTCAAAATATATTAAATATTAATGTCTGCTAATTCAATGTTATAATATACATTAATATATATATATATATTATTATTTGATGGTTTTTTAGTTTTGAGTGAGACATTTTTAATTAGTAAGTAGCCATAACTTAATACTGATTATAGAAAATTATGCAAAAGTGCATCATCTGAAAAATTCATATTAAAATAGAGTCATAAATGCGTCATATACAGTCAAAAGTCGTTAATCTGGACTCGTCGGGACTTTGGCGATTCCGGATTATCGATTTTCCTAGATTATAAATCATCACTTTAAATCTGGTAAGATGGCATGCAGAAATTATAAAATTAAAAATATGAAACCATAATTTATGAAATAAAGAACAATTATGATCTAAAGGGTATCAAAATTTACAAAAAAAAAAAAAAAAAAAAAAAAAAAAAGCTTAATATTTATTTCCTTACTTTATTAAACATTTCTTTCAATGTAAGTTGTTTAAGTTGCTTCGTTTTATGTGATAATACTTTCTCTTTAATTCTATAAACAGACATAATTTCTTTTTCAGTTACAAAGTTTCGCTGTTCAAGTCCTTTAATTGCCGTGTCGAGAATAGCGACTAATTTGTCAATCGAAATTTTTTCGTTTTCAATAAACTCTGTGTCACTTTCTTCACTATCGGAAGCGAATTATAATGATGAGGAATTTGATTTAAATCATATCAAAGACGGAGTACATCGAGATGAAATACTACATTTAGTAAGGAATTATAAGCCAAATAAAATAGAAACATCTGCCCTGAAGATAAGGATAGTGCTGACAGATCAACTTCCAATTCGATTGCGCGCCGCGGCGCCCCCCCCCTGCCACAGAGCAGCGTGAAATTGATAAACAGGTTTCGGAATGGTTAGAGAAACAAAACCTTTATCCATTTTTTGCAACAATTCCACTTTTTGTTTAATGGACTTCGAAACATACTTTCGCTTTGTAGATCCTTTACATATTAGTAAATATATATCGGAAATTCTATTTGACATAATCGAAAATTCAAGCTTACTTTTATAAAATTGCTTTAACAGTCTGCAAAAAATAATAAGCCGGATCCAATTCGAAGATTAAGGAACAACGCAATCTGCAACATTAACTGAATTAGATAATTTTAGCTTAGCTTATACCGTCCATTATACATTAAACGCGCACACACATATTCGCAGCCGTAAAGGTCTTACGCGCATGCGTCAATGCGACGCATATGCAGAAAGTTTGTAACTCTGAGGTCCGGATTATGGGTGTCCGAATTAACGACTTTTGACTGTAATATGTTCAGGTCAAATACTTTGGTTATTCCAAGATGCTGTATTTATTATAGTTTGAAAAATAATTTCTCATTAATCCCTTAGTTCTTACAAAATAAAACTCCATCTGTTTTATACAGTTTTGCATATAAAGTGACACAGTTAAAAGATCTCAAAAGCTAAAAGTTCTTTTTTTCTTTTCAGTTCTTTTAAATATATATATAAAATTATCTGATATGCTGGTCTTCAAGTATTAATTTAATACACCATGAATCTAAAAAATAAACCAAGGACAGTTTTTTGAGGTTTTATAATAATGAGATTTTCTTATGGACTATGTATGACCTTGCACATCATTAAATTTTGAAAAAATACAAAGCAATAAAAAACAGTTCAAAACTTAATCTAATCGTGTGCTGATAGCAGCAAGTGGTGGTGGGAAAAAAAAATAAGAATACATTTAAAATCATCCTAATATTCAATTCTAAATAAACCAAAACGAGAAGAAAAAAAAAAAAAAAAAAAAAAAACCCAGAAGCTCAGAAGCAAACTACAAGAAATAGGATGTAAAATATGCCAGAACCAAAAATGAAATTTAAATCTTTTGCTGCATTGTCTCCAGCGAGTTGGTGCAATGAAAGAAGTAAATAAAACAGCCTGTTCTGAACAGATGAAGACACAGAGTTAAAAAATAATATTAGAAAAACAATCAAAGTAATCTGTGTCTTTAACAGTATAACCTCTGTATGTTAAAGCAGTATCAAAATGAAAAGAAGTTAGAGCATCAAAAACAATGATAAATTAAAAAAAAAAAAAGTGAACAAAATAACAAATTTAATAATATATTGTGACAAGCTAGAGTCCCAAAAACAAAACTTGCAAAAATAATAATCCAATACTTGAAAAAATAAAAGCATACACAAATTTTTAAATCTAAACTTGGAAATAAAAATTTATATATAAAACACAAAACATTTTTTTAAAACCAAATTACTTTCCTGTTAATGCTTCATTAAAGGGAAAAGAGAGAAAAAATATATGAATAAATAAAAAAAATTAAATAGAAATTACAAAATTCCTTTAGGTAAATATTATACTGAGGTAGGAGAGAATGATTATAAAATTTTTATTTTGAGAACTTCAGTTTCTCTGCTGAAAAATAATTCTCCTGAAATACACAAAATACAAGTTACGTAGGAAGCCAGAAGAATAAAGCATTTCTTACTTGCTAAGATTAAACCTGAACTGATTCCTTAAACTATACTAAATTGATATAAAGGATGTTTTGTCCAAATCATTTCTGTACTCACTTTTTTTCTCGTGTAATTTTTTTGCATTCAAATTTTTCCTCACACTAAACGATTATTTTATTTAAAGAAAAAAAATGTTATTTCGGCTGGCCTAAATTAATTATTTATTATAATATATTTATCTAGAATTATTTCATTAGCTAATTAATCATTTAAAGTTTTGTCCTAATTTCTAATAAGAAAATACCATAACATTTATAAAGAAGTTTATGTCAATATATATACATATCTTAGAAAATGTATTTTTCATACTTATTTAATCAAATTTACAAAAGTTTCATTTAATTCTACATGTTAATACGGAATTTTTGAAAGAAATTTTGTACTAATAAAAATAGCTTTAATTTACATATAACTTTTAACATTTCAAAGAATATTATTTTTTGAATTTAAGATTATTCATGACATGGAAATTATGAAAACATACAGAAACATAGTATATACAAGAAATATAGTATAATTTACCATGCATTACATAATAAAAATTATGAACACATTGATTGTATAATCAAAAGAATAAAATCATGAGCACTTGCCTGAACACACTCTTTCCTTTGGTATTAAATTTTGTTTTTCAACAGGAAGGTTTCCAAGCAAGTAACCTATAAGAAAATACAAAATTAAAATGTTTTTATACATTAAATAAAACTGATTGTTACTGAACTTTTAAACCATATACAAGTAATTACGAAACAATAACACGCTGAACAAATACTAATTCAGAAGTCAAACAACAAAAATCAGCGTTATATTTTCAAATTTTCACAGCTGACGATGGTGGTTCAGTAAAACCATCGAAACTAGTCCTGTGAAAATTTTTAAATATAACGCTGATTTTTGTTGTTTGACTTCTGAATTTATATACAAGTAGTCAAAAATCTTTCATCAGCTTTCTCAAATAAATGTTTTCATAGTTCAAAATATATCAAAGTTAATTTTTATGTTTTATTATTACATTTTTGCATTATTTTAATTTTTTGATATTAACTAAATGATCTTATATTAGTTTTCTAGCTCTTTCCCTTTAGTTCATGTTGGCAATTTTGACATTGTTAACTATTTTACATTACATGCATTCTCCCTAAAATGTTAATGATGATTGTAATTCTTTTTTTTCTTTTTTTTTACTTTATTCTGAAATTTTATAAAAAATGCATAGAAAATTTCACATGAGAAACCTGAATTTTACCTTTTTTGATTTGAATTTTACCTTCTTCTATTTTAAAGAAGATTAAATTGTGCAAAAAATATTCTTCAATAAACAGAAATTACAAAAACTTCTTTTATTTCAAAATAACAAAAGTGCTTTAAAAATGTTATTTTAGTGAGCATTATGTTATTGAACCAGACAGCATGTCTAAGGGTGCCTGATATTTTGAGTTATTTAAATTTGATATATAATTAAATGAGTAAAATAACACATTTCACCAAATATTTCTCAGACACATTTGTAAGTGCTTACTGTGTTACTGTTGATTTTACATTTACATGGAATAATTTATGAAGTGCACTTAAACACAGTAAGAAATAAAAACTTTTATTTCATATTTCTGCTTATTTTTTTTTTTGCTTCATTCCTGCATGATTTTATTTAAATCAATTTTATAACATAAATTAAAAAGGTAAGCCCTCTCAAGGATAAAGTTTGTTCTACAGTTAAGATACACAGTATTAAGGCATTGGTAAACATAAACTTTCAGTTAGTCATCATGCTCATCTAAACATTTGTTCCAAGAGGACACTAAAATACAAGAAATTAAAGTCAAATCCTTGAAGTCACCACACCAGGTTTACATGTTTCATCTCCTGTAACAGCTGATGCAGAATTAAAATACCTTTGTTATTAAACAGTATTGAATGCATGACAGCTAATTCAAGGCTTGCAGTTTTATCATCATCTATGAGCTACTCAGGCATTCAGTATGAGCATGTCTTCTTCTAGCCCAAGTGCTCATTAATAATACTGTGCATATTGTTTTTTATCAGATGTTTAGTTTCTTAGCAATATTTTAAGTCATACATGACAATCGTTTGAATAAGAGCATCAAAAAGATAAACACTGTAATCTGTGGGGTCATGCTTGGCCAACTGTTGTTCATCTGTGCTGCCTTTATCAAATTCAGTGCATTAAAATCAAATGTGTTTGTGTGATATGATGATATTGTTGTATACTTCAACAACTTATGCTATTTCTGTGTCTAAGTTCATTTTAGACACAGAAACCTTATTACACTTCACTATTTGGCAAAATTTTCATTAGTATAGCCATTTTACAACTGATGTTTCATTACGTAGATGCAACGTATGTACCATCTACTGGCAGCATTCAAATACTTTGGTCATTTATTGCTCCTAAGAAGAACATTTTAAAAACTTTCTATCCAAAATTAATTTGTTTATTTAAATATAATACTCATCTATCAAAAAAGAGAATTATTACAAAATTTATGTACAAAGAAATAAATTTATATCAGAGAATTTATCTGAATTTTATGATCTGTTATAGTCACAAATATTTATGCATCTTCACTCATTTACAAAACTCAAATCTTATTTATTAAAGATAAATGCAATTATAAAATAAGAAAGCATATAGAGACTAGAAAACATGTAGGTTATTTAGAGCAGTGGCCATACGCATGGGTTGTTTGCATGATCTGGAAATAACTCCCGGGTAAGAATATTTATAACAAAATAAAATATATTTTACATAAATTAAAAATTTTGCTTATTAAGTATTTTTTGAAACATACATAAACAGTAGTATCAGAAAGGCAAAAAGCTCAAACTTATATTTATTTTCTATCTGAAATCTGAGTTTGGAACCTGCAAGACATTTTCGTTGGTGATACTTTGTAATACAAATATGCTCACAACTAAATTTTAAATTTACAGGCTGATGTTTATTTAAAATAGTTCTAATGTATTTAATTTAACATTAAATAACAAATTTAAGCAGAACGAAATTATGAAATGTTTAACTTTTCAGAGAACATTTTCCAAAAGGGTAAAAATTTGAGAATAAATGATGACAACTTAAGTATCTTTTTCTTATTTATTAAATTTTTCCTTGAAGCATAAATAAAAATAACATATGCTTGTATGTAAGTAATTATAAGCATCTTTATTTCTTACTACAACTTGAAACTTGATAGCTCTCTGATTCTGATAAATGCATAGAAATTATTAGAAATTATTTTCATTATGGATTGTAAATGCCCATCAGTCAACTGAACTTTTTTTTACTTATTTATTTTCAATTGTGGCAGGGGGGACCGCTCACATATAAATGTATTCCCGAACAAAGTGATTATACCTGGTGCAAAAATTTGTAACTGAACTTACTTCTTTTCGACAAGTACAAATAAAAGTTACTAAAATCTGTTCTTTAAATGATTAAGATTTATATCACACTGTAAATTGGTTAGCACCATTTTATAGATTTTCTGATGAGTTACATTAGTTTTCAAGAGCAACGGAAATAATATAAACTCGGACTTCAAATAATTAAAAATCTTGATATTTTTATAACGGTGTATTTGTAACAAATTTATAATTGAAATATCTTTGTGATCCACATACAATTGCTTCACGGGCTGCCAGTTTGAGACCACTGTATGAGACATGAAAAGTCACCTTTGTCTTTACCAGTATTTGAACTTTGATCTTCTTACATTAACTGGATCTGCTACCAATTACACCACAAGGGCATGCAACGAGAAATCTTTTATATTCTCCCTCACTTAAATGGTAACTCAAAAGAGAAGGATGAGATCCAATTGGCCAAATGCAGGTGGTGATGATTATTGTGCATTACATTTTAGCCAAGTATTACTTAAGTGATATTTGATTATGTAAGCCAGGAAATGGAAGAAAAACAGCTAAAAAGCTTGCAATATGAAAATTGAAGGTCCAGGTCAAAACTTAATTTTATTGATACTTTGCAACTTAATTTAACTTTATTTATTTTGCACAAGCCTAATCAAACAGGAAGTTTAAATCATAGTCAATTCAGAGTCACTATAAATAAGATCTTCAGTCAACTCAAGCCTAGACCTTAAAGTAGTCTGGAGAAATATGTCAGCTATGTAGACTTATTTATTCATATGCAACTGCCATGTAAAATAACTAAACATTTTGTTTTGAGATGTATAAAAATAGTTCTTAAAAATGCAAAATTTGTTATTATTAGACATATATGATAATATTGAAATTTACATACCCAGAAATGAAATTGCATTACACTGTATTGATAGAAACTGACTCTTTAAATAGGACATGCATGATGTTGCATAAAATCCTACTTTTTCTGGAAAATCTGCTATCTGCAAAGGTAAGACTTTTTAAAATATTTTTATTCTTTTAATAGAAGATGACTAATAAAAATCCTGAAATTATTATTACTCATTTACAATTAATTCTCTTACCACAGTCTTTGTAAGGTCATTTATGAATTCACCATAATGTAAGTGCGCATCATCGAGCAAATGTTTCTGAAACATATTATTCATACTTTCAGACTTTAAAAGTGGTCCCAGCAGCCTTAAACTGTATTTGCAAGCCTAAAATAATACAAAAAAAGCATGGTAATATGCACAGATTTAAATTTATTAACATCTGGAAGAAATCTGAAAATGGACATCAGATTTTTTTTATAGTTTCATTTCTATAAATAATACTTGTGTTTCTGAATAGAATACTGCATAGTGAAATAGAACTGTTTTATCAAATATAATAATACATTTTTTAGAATGATTGAATATTTTAATAGAAGAGTAATTAGTCTTAAATGTAACTGAGCAAAACTTGTTTTATGCTTTTTAGTCTAAAAGACCTTGATTAACCTCGTCATTAATAGCATTGAACATTCCAGCTGCTTGATGACTCCAAATATTAAGTATTTTGAAATGGAGAATGTTACTTCAACTGTTTTTGCTGTCCAACTTATAGAATTTTGGGAAAGAGTTTGAGAATTTTTGGGCTATGGAAAGCTTCAAGAAAATCGAATTCACTAATTTTGGAAAAATTATAAAAATATTTGTTATAAAAATAAAAATTTTGGCAGAATTAAAATTTTCGTTATACACACACTAACCAATGAATTAGAAACCTTTGAGATTTTCCTTTGAATGCATGCTAGGGATGAAGTATGAAATTATTTTATGATGTGGGTTACACGTAGTTAGAATGCTAGTATAAATAAGGTGTAAGAGTGCTTTTCACGATGAACGAAGTAAAATGGGGAAAGAACAACATCTTTCACCATTTAAAATAGGGCTTAATGTTGGTAACCGTTTAGCAGGGGGCCTCGATTTCGAAGACAGCAAATCTTAACTGGGTTCTCAAAAGCAGCAATATCAAAGATTTGCAAAAGTTGCAATCAGAACCCAAAGTCCTTTACTAAGAGACATAACTGCAGTTTGAGCACAGTTTTCCAAGAAAGTGACTGACATCATCTTCAAAAAATTGTATGCCAGAAAAGGAAGTCTCCTATGTTTCAACTGGCACAGATCGCCATCCAAGGTTCTTCCCAACAGATTTCAGCTAGAACCATGTGCAGAGAATTGCAGAGGCTAGGAATGCATAATCGGGTGCCTGTGAGAAAACTATTCATTTCTGCTCAACATGCAAGAATTCATTTGCAGTGGTGTCGGGAAAGAAGACACTGGACATCTGAGGACTAGAAATGGATAATGTGATCGGATGAATCACGCTACACCTTTTTTTGCACTGATGAAAGATGTCAAATTTGGCGAAAGTTCCATGAAGCCATGAATCCATCTTGCCTTACTCGCACTGTGCAAGGGTCTGGTGGGAGTATCATGTTGCATTTTTACCCTGATGGCGCTGAATACTTCATGGATGATAATGCAACTATACATTGTGCCAGATGTTCGAAATTGGTTCGCTGAACATCAGTCTGACTTCCAATACCACCACATAGCCCGGATCTTAACCCCATAGAAAATGTGTACGATATGGTGGAAAGACACATCAGACATTACTCTCCTCTTCTATCTAATTTACATAGCTGGATAGTCAATGTATGGTATTTTCTGGACGGAAAGGCACTCAAGCATGTACACTTTGATGTCCAAATGAATCAAAGCAGTTATCCATGCAAAAGCTGGTCCAATAAAATATTGATCTTGGGTTTCTAATTCATTGGCCAGTGTATATAATATGTAATTCTAACATTATCAATTTGTTATTATTAACAACATAATGGATAATTTACCACTCATTTTTCTAAATATAAATTTTGTTTCCACAGTCTAAAAATTTAAAGATTGATCACTTTGATCAACATATCAGCCACAATAACAAGATGTTCTATAAAGTTCTAGGGAATTCTTATCATAAATTTGGTCTTTATGAATTTAAAATGTGAAATTTATGCAAAGTTAAATTTAAGACTTCCCCTTTCCTTCCTTCTTTACTAAAATCTTACTGATAAAAAAAATACTTTCTAATTTATATTTCTTACAATTTAAATCCAGTATTTTTTACTATGTCAAAATTCAATATTTTTTTAAAATACCTCAGTGTCAAAATAGTAAATCCTTACCAATGTTACTAATTTATACTAAAAAATTAAAAACAGAAAAATATTTGAAAACAACAATATTTAATAAAAATTTACAAAAATTGAAGGAATTTCATATTTAGTTATATTATAAGAGGAAAAAGATTAGGAAATTAAAGACATTTTATGTACCTTAACTACATGCTTATCTTCGTCATTAAGATGAAGAAGAAGTGGAATTAAATTTCCATGAACTTGTTCCATGAATTGTTCTTTCGATGGACCATTTCCAAATCGTGACAAGTTTCCAAATAAGGTAAATGCTGCAGCACGTATTAAAGGCTTTTCCTATATTTAAATATAACATACATATTTATATATGATTACAATATCAGTTTAATAAAAGAATAATTAATATACTAAAGTACATAAAAATTATAACTTTCTACTCAGCATGCTACATAACATAAAAATAGAAAAAGTTAAAAAATATATATATGAAAAATAAATAAAAATACTATATTATCCATATTGCAAATATAATAATTAACATACTGTAATTTCCGGAAGAAACGCCACGGCGTTTACGTGTTTAAAACTTAAATTTTCAGCGGGTGCGGCATTTCTACCCATGCGGCGTTTAGGTGCACTAAAAATAAAATATTCCCTATGATGGTCATTGTACATAGTTTGGATGGCCTTGTCATTGTGCATAGACTGGTGCTGTTCCCACACAAAAGACCACTCAGTTGCTTTTTGCGAACGTTATTTTGTTTACATTCTTTCCCTTGAACGGACCTACATGCCTTATTCACCCTAAACGAGATCTCAGAACAATAACATTCTTCCCCCTTTCAAATCAACATTCTCATCAGTTTGAATAGTCTCTCTCCTCTGCCATTCGATGAATCTTCCAGGACCCATCCTCTCCCCACCCCTGCCTTTTCTGCAATTTTTTTCAAAGGCGGACACGACTGCACCTGCCTCGCAATAATGAACTCTGACATATTGCCCCTTCAGCATGAATGGATTTTTCTTGGCATTCTGCCAGATACTGGTGAAACTGGTGCAAAAACTGTATCTGTGTTTATGATGGGGCATGAAAGAACGTCATTTACATATGCGTTAGCTTGTGGCGCAAACGGTGACAAGCTAAAGCCGATGATCATTTTTAAACGAAAGACTATTCCAAACGGAGATTTTCCTAATGACGTAATTATTTGTGCAAACGAGAACGCCTAGATGTGCAAAACAATCATGCATGAGTGGCTACAAAAAGTTTGGCAGTGTCGTATGGGATCTTTTTTCCAACCAAAGGGGTTATTGATAATGGATTCCATGCGTGCTCATTTCTTTGAGTCGGTGAAAACCAGATGTCAAAAATTGTCTACGACCGAAGCAATAATTTCTGGTGGTTTGACAAAAATCTTACAACCATTACATTTGTCAGGTAATAAATCCTTCAAAGCTGAAGTCCGAAAGCGGTGGGAGTGTTGGATGAGTGAAGGATTGCATACGTAAACCAAAAGCGGTAAAATGCGTAGAGCATCTTTTGAAGAAATTGCAAAGTGGGCAGGAAGTGCGTGGAAATCAGTAGAAACATCGTCAATAATAGCAGGATTCAAAGAAGCTGAAATTATATCCTTAGATAAAGAGACTGTAAACCAAGAGGATGAATGTGACGATCTGGAAGACTTAGATCAGGATTTACTAAATCTTTTTAATTCAGATAGTGAAGATAGGTTGAGTTTTCGCATCTATACGGCCCACGACGATGTCACGCGCAATTTAATTTATTGCAGCGTTTCTGTGTAATTTTAATTTTTTTCCCGCCATTTTTCTCGAGTGCGGCCTTTCTTTCGGAAATTACGGTATTTCTGTGACAACTGCAGATGTGCAGTTTAAAAACTTATTACCATATCTGCAATTTAATACATTCATGGATCTAAACCAGTAACAAATTTATAAGAATAAAAAAACAGGCTGATATTATTCAGTTGCGAATATTTTCTATTGTGAGCAACTAGTAATTTGAGGGCATTTTTATAATGCTAATTCTATTTTCAGAGTTTAAATTCTTTTTCTTCATTTTTTTAAGAAAAAAAAAAAGTGTTTATAATTTTTATATTAAATAAATATTTTTCTCTAATGATCTTGTGGTGAAAAAATAGGAATGAAAAATAATGTAAAATAGATTAATTTACAATCTCTTATCTTTTTATGTGCTCTACTTAGAATTAAAAAAAAAAATTGACTGGCATAAATTTAGAAAAAAAAAAAAAAAAAAATCATACTTTGAAAGGTAATCCGGCATAGATCCTGTTTTTTTAGAAGCAAAATTTTATTGCAAATGTAAGAGAAGCCACAATCACATTCACAAATACAGTATAAAAAAATTATAAATACAGTCAAAAGTCGTTAATTCGGACACCCATAATCCCGACCCCAAAGCTAAAAACTTTCTGCGCATGCGCCGCGTTGACACATGCGCCGCGGCATTTACACGTGCGCGTAAGACCTTTACGACTGCGCATATGCGTGTGCGCAAGCGCAGAATACGTTTTCGCGTGCACGTTTAATGTATAACGGACGGTATAAGCTAAAATTATCTAATTATCTATTTCAGTTAATGTTGATGATTGCGTTGTTCCTTAATCTTCGAACTGGATCCGGCTTATTACTTTTTTCAGACTGTAATAGCAATTTTATATAAGTAAACTTGAACTTTCGATTATGTCAAATAGAATTTCCGATGCTGGAGCTCCCAAAGGATATACAAAATGAAAGTATGTTTCGATGTCCATCAAACAAAAAGTGGAATTGCTGCAAAAAATGGATAAAGACATGAAGATGGTGACAGAGAGGTTAGTGAAAACGAAAAAATTTCGATTGACAAGTTAGTCGGTATTCTCGGCACAGCAATTACGGGACTTGAACAGCGAAACTTTGTAACTGAACAAGAAATTATGTCTATTTATAGAATTAAAGAGAAAATATTATCACATAAAAGGAAGCAACTTAAAACAACTTACATTGAAAGAAATGTTTAATAAAGTAAACAAATAAATATTAAGCTTTTTTTTTTGTAAATTTTGATACCCTTTAGATCATAATTGTTCTTTATTTCATAAATTACGGTTTCATATTTTTAATTTTAGAATTTCTGCATGCCATTTTACGAGATTTAAACTGATGATCTATAATCCGGAAAAATCGATAATCCGGAATCGCCGTTAACGACTTTTGACTGTATTGTTACTCTTTCTATCTTTGCAAAAATGTTTTGCCTCTGAAGAAAGATGACCTCTCTGATCACCTCATGACCAGTACGTACAAAGATAAGAATGTTTTATTTAGAATCCACATCAAACTAAGACTGCTTCCCACCTGCTATTTAAGTATATAATACAATATTTACAGTTTTCTAGAGTCATCTAAAGTTGCAAAAAATAATTTAAAAAAATGCATGAATCACATAACACATCAGAAAAACTAAGGTCTCACAACTTTTAATGCTTTTAAAAAAGACTTTCTTTCTGAAATATCCCATTGCATGTAACATGATTTGCCATCATCTATAAAAACATGTTAGATATTATCTATATAAATTTATTGCAATATCACTTTTGTGGGTAAAAAACAGTGCAACAGCTTTTGTGATTCTTGCTGTTCTAGCAATGGTTTAATTATGATAATGATGAAGCATGTCACTATAATGCAAAGTGAACATGACTATGGTACATAAAATACATGTCAGTAAAACAGCATTAGGTATGACATATAATATGGATGTTACCCAATGATACTAGTGGGACTAAAATAGTAAAATACAAACATTTTTTAATACAAAGACTATGGGAATATGAAGGACGGTTCTTTGATATTTTATTTGCAAAAAGGAATAAATTTTGACATAATTAAGTTTAAAAAATATAAAAATACTTAAGAATATTAATGCAGAAGACATTTTTATATTCACTAATGATAAAAAAGCAAGACAACTTAAGTTATCCAAAGAATTCTGTACAATACACCTATCCTTCGATTTACATGGAAGATAGGTTCTGCACAAAACCGTGTAAATCGAAATCTTGGATTTTGCTATGTAAATTCTAAAACACACTAAATATGCATAATTAGTAATTTATTTACATAAAACAAAAGTAAGAAATCTTAAAATAAAATTATACTTCATTCATAAAATAACAAATATAATATGTAGGTAATAGAAGTACATATTTAATTTATTTTACATTAGGAAACTACAAGATCATTCAAAAAAAAAAAAAAAAAAAAATTATACGCTTAATCACTGTCATAACTTTCATGAACTATTATCTTTTTGATTGGTATGATGTCACTTTTATCACTTAAGCATTCTTGATATGATTTTGCTTCAATGGTTGACTAATTAGGGAAGATCTCAGATCGACAAGACTTAGTAGTGAAATCTATAATTAACAATTGCCTAGTTTTTTTTCCCTAAATCTTTGTAAACCTCCTCATATTGATTTAAGCACTAACTGAGTTCCCATTGAAATTGGAGAGCTCATTCAACATTCGTGTCACACTGTAATAAATGATTACCTAATTTTCTTCCCAATTCAAGTTCTATGCTGATGACTCTTACTGTGAACATAACTGGTTCAGATTGCTCTTCTTCAGAATCATCGTCTTCATCATGCTTATTTGTTTCATGAATCATGTTAACTAATTCCTCTTTATTTAGTTCTTCATCAGCCATTATGTCTTCAGTATCTGCATGAGCTAAATCCTCAAAACCGTCTCCTTCTATAGTTTAGTGATCTGAGAATATTCATGCTCTAATTGTAACCTATCATTCTCATTTGTAGCAGCATTCGGCCATATTGCTTTCCAGCATGCATTGAGCTTTGATTGTTTAATCTGTGTATATGACAGTCCAACATGCTTAACACAATCTAAGATAGACTGTAAATTTTTTCCAAACATTCATAACAGTAAGAGATTCATCATTCTCCATTTGTTCTAAAATATACCCAAAAGTTTGTTTGATATACAATGCCTTAAAAGTCAAAATTATTCCTTGATCTAAAGGCTGTAATAAGAAAGTTGTATTCTTTGGCAAAAAGACTTTTACATGTTCGTGTTGTAAATCTTGAGGATGACCAGGTGTACCATCAATTAAGAGAAGAACCTTAAAAGGCAATCCCTTAAATAATTTTTGACATCTGGAACAAACATGTTATGAAACCATTCATTGAAAGCTATGGCAGTGACCTATGCTTTCTTATTAGCCATCCAATAAATGGGAAGGTTATTTTATGTTTATTCCTTTAAGTAAGCGTGGTGTTTTTGATTTGTTAACCCCTTAACTGCCGCGGAAAACGTACAAGATTCATTTCCTAGTACCACCGTTTTTCACACAGGCCCGCGTAGTTATGTGATGTATTAGGGGGAAAATAAGTGCAAGTTTTACTTTCTGAAAACTGTTTACTTTCACAAAATAAAGAATAAAAGAAAAAGTGAAAGCACAGAATTTAGTGTTTTGAGTAAAAGTATAATAAAAAGATGTAAGTATGATAAAAAAAAGATCCCTAAAATGGAGTTTTGATCAATTCATTTTTAGACCAGTAAAGTGTAATATCAAGTTCAGTGTTTACCCTTGTTGAAATCAGTATGCCTAAAAAAACATATCTTCTGAACTGAAAATGCCACAACTGTGTTCTTTTTTAATTTGCAAGGTGGTTCTCAAACGGTTAGTTTCAGTAACAATATGAAGCACGTGCAGTTCATCAAAAAATAATTCAAAAAAGATAAATGAGTTTGAAACGTCTGTTATACCTTTCTTTATTCCTGGAACCTACTACAAAAGTAAACGAAAATGGAGGACACTGAATTAAAAAAAATACGTTTTACTGAAACACCAGCCAATACCGCACAGTCATTACTTTCACCACTTTAGACACACCCCTCTCTCCAATTTCTCCCCACACTTCTCTGAAATAGTATCCTCCTTTGCATACTTTGTCAAGGTCATTGTGGTGTTGCATTCCCAAGCTTTGCGAATAGTTTTATGGGTAGCAGCACAAAGCAAATGATAGTAGTTTGGAAGGGCATATATATATGCCTGGGACAGTTAACGCTTCGGCTGAGCAAGGCGTATATATATGTCCGCGGCAGTTAAGGGGTTAATAATCAATGGTTTTGTTATATAATTGCCTGAAGCACTGCAACAGAAAAGAATTGTTATAAGACTTTTCACTACCTTATGTCCACACTAGTTGATTTGCAAGCTTTAGCTAAATAGGTTCTTTCAGGCGACTGATCAATTGAAATCTGTTTTTGATTTTGGTCTTCTATCCATATCACTAATGTCTTCTATATTTTCAGCTGTATTATATCTTATATATGAAATTGCGTTCTTACTGCTGCAAGTTCCAGCTGCTACACCTTTTTCTTATATAGTCTTCATTTTTTCTAACTGTCCTTATTGTGGCTTCATTCATGGAGTAAAATTTAGCTACATGTGTTACTTGTTCGCTATTATGTAGACAATCTAATATTTTAACTTTTGTTTCCAAAGAAATAACTTTTCCTTTTATTTGATTTTTTTTAAAAATCTTTTGGCATTATAAACTTTAAAGAATTTACGTAAATTATAAAAATGCCACAAAAAATATAAATGTTGAAAACTTACCAGTAAGCATTCAAATATGTAGATAAAAATGATGTAAGCTTTGCTGCTAAAATACTGATACTACACTAGTTCACATGAAACAAATACTTTTGCTGTTGTGAAATATGTATACATACTATGGGGATTCCCCATCCTTGTTGTTGTGTGAACCAAAAGTTAGTGTTACCAAAAGAATGAGATTAAAAAATGACTTCAAATATATGTATTTGTGTATATGCAGTCAAATATACATTTTTACCAAGTTGAAATCCGTTAATTTTTAAATCGTGTAAAATGAGCACAATGTAAATAGAGGGATAGGTGTAGTATGTTTCAAAATGTTAATGAAAAATTAAATAATAATAAGAAAAACAAGATTAACAATCTTAAACTGCAAGTTACAAATCAGTTAAACAGCCTTTTTTTATTAATACAGATAAGTATTAATGTGATGATCATACAATAATAAATTATTTTCACAGATGAATAGTCAAATTATTAGATTTGTGTTTAATTAAGTAAGAAGTCTGCAGGTATTTGACTAGTAGTTTCATTTAACTAAGTAGCCATTTCCAGCATATAAAATGGCTACTTAGTTAAATGAAAGCAATGCTACGGAACAAAATTTTCTGAATGATAATAAAAGTATAATTTTCAATTAAAAAATTGTAACAAAATCATCATGAGGCAATACATAATTTATCAATCTGTACCATGGTATGTAAAATACGATATTTGAAAGGTCATTAATTGGTTACATTAATGGTATTTTAAAAATTATCAGTTGCATATAAATAACATCAAGCATAAAAAATTATAAAAAATAGAATTAAATAAAAATAATTAACAAGCATGCATATCATTGTTAAATAGCTCAATTTTAAAAATATGTTCTACAATGCATTACACTAATATGCAGTACAGTTTTGTAACTTTCTAGATAAATTAATGATTTTTTATAGGAATAATGTAAATACAATTAGAATTAGGAATTTACAGTAAAGATAAAAATAGACAGACCATTCAGATAGGTAATGCCTGTAGTAATGTAGGATAGCACACTATAATATAACACGGAATAAAAATTGAAAGACTAAATTACAGATCTCTTAGCATAAAAAAAGAACATACATATAAATTTTAGTAAAATATTTATGAGAGATGATAGGTTACTAAAATGCCTTAATAAAACCAAAACTGCTACTGACCCTGTGCTTAAAATATTTGAAATTTATCAATCCAAATATAGAACTAACAGATTTATCACTAGTTTAAAAAGTAAAGTGTTGAAACAATACAAATATAGATTATGCAGAATAGCAAACCTTTTCAAACATTGGTTTTATCCGCAGAGCAATATTAATAAGTATATTCCTCACATCTTCCTCTGCTACTTGAGATAAAATTGAAGACAATCCACTCATTGCTTCCAAAGTAATACTGCAGCCAGGATCTTCTCTATCATCCATACCTGCCATCATAGCAGAGAGGATAGTGGTAGAATATCTTTCTATCTAAAAATAAAGACATTTAAAATATATACAATGACATTAACACAAGGTGAAATTACAATATTAAACTGTATACAATCACTCAATTCTTTGATTACATTTACTAACCCTCTATACCTCTACTATTACTACTCTATACCTTTAGCAATATTTAAAAGACCTTACATCATTAACACTTTGACTGGAGCTAGCTTACTTGTAATGTTTCCAGCATATATTACATAAACATTCAAAACTATAAAAGAAGAAAATTTTGAAATTTGAAATGAAATCTGGTCTATACTTCAAAATCTGTCTAACATACAGTTATGAGAAAAATTATTATCACACGAAGGCTTTTTATTTAATTTCTGAAGTGAACTATGGCTTATTAATATATTGTTAATAAACATCCCTTAAAAAATACATATATTTCATCCACATCTTTTCAGTTATACCGTGAAATAGGATTTTAATTGTTCTTTTACTAGCTGTTCCTTACCACAGCTAATAACATAGCTGTGGATAGCATTTGTTACTGATATTATAGTTTCATCGAAAAATAACTTGAAAGCTACAGAAGCTGTTTTCATTGTGGTGTCCAGTTCCCTTGAAGCTGCATTTCATTGTCAACATAAATATCATCCACTTTTGTTTATTTCACCATGTGATTACATTCTGCATTTCTATCTTCATCATTACTATGAATTTCTTCTACCATTTTCACCATTTAAATGAATGCTTGTAAATCTGATAACAATTCAATATATTAAAAGTCCAATTCACTACAATTATAGCATAATTTTTAGTATTTTCATTATCAATGATACCTTAAAGCATGAAGCAAACTTAATAAAATATACTAATAATACTATAATGAACACTTTCAGAATGTGCTAGTACAGTATCTACCAATAAGTATTTGGACACCCATGCAAATGCCGATATCAATGGTCTTGATAAATGTCATGCTGTTTGCCATTAAATGCCACACAGGAAACAACATTGGAATTAGTTGCATGCAAGATGCCACAAAGTGATGATTTTGAGAAATGTGTAATTGTCAGGTATCACAAAAATGGCCAATCCTTAAGAGGCATATCTGGTAAGCTGAATAACCCAAATTCAACAGTGCTCTAGGTGATTCAGAAGTGGAAGATAAACAGTGATTTTCGGAATGTGCCTCAAGTTGTCAGACCCACAAAACTGGAAGACAGGGATTGACGCATGCTGTCTAGAGAGAATTCGGAAGAGCCACATCCATAACCAATGGCCCACAAACTCTAGGAGTTTTAACAGGCAACCAAGAGTGTTGTTCCGATGAGCACCATCCATAAGAAATCACATCTGTTTGGTTTTCATGGCCATGCTACTGCCCATAAGCATTTGATCATAAAAGTCCAACCGCTCTGCTCAGTGGTGCAAAGCACGTCGACAGTAGACCATTGATCAGTGGAAATGGGTTCTCTCGAACAACAAATAAAATTCACCATCTCCTGTTCAGATGGCAGGGTCTGGTTCTGGCATCTGGCCTGGAAAACACCTCCTGCCAGAATGCATTGTGCTCACAGTAAAGTTCAGTGGAGATGGAATCATGATCTGGGGGTGTTTCTCTTGATATGGACTGAACCGTTGGCCCAAATTCATGCTAAACTCAATGCCAATGCCTACTGCACTATTCTGGATGAAAGTGTGCTTCCTATGCTGTGGCAGTTTTTTGTCGACCCACATTACTTTCAATATGGCACTACCAACTGCCTAGTTTGGTGGCAATGACGTTAACCGAATGAATTGACCTGCCCGGGGACCAGACCTGAACGCTATTGACAGCCTCTAGGATGATTTGGATCACTGAATTAAGAGGTGCAACAACCGTCCAATATCAGTGAAAGCTTACATGTCTTCTCCAAGCTGAGTGGAAGAAAATATCAATAGCTCAAGGGCTTGTGGAGGGTCGTGGAGGTTCCACAAACTGTTGAATATGAATAAATTTTGTTTTTCTTTTCTATCACATGTGTCCAGGTACTTATTGGTAGATAGAGTACAGTTTAAACAAATATATATTTTAAACAAATGCAATTTGAAATTCAATTAAAATTATTTAACATAATGAAAAAATCTATACCTGTTCCTTATCTAGCATGGATATATTTCCCAAGCCTGAGATACAAAAACGACGCACAGTTGGCGATGAATCAACCAAGCGACCCAAAAGATTATTCATTAGTGGTTCTGTCAAATTCTGTCTGCCTTTGTAATTTTGTGATAGAAATTCTACAAACAATGATACTGAAATGATGCGATGCACATTTACAGAACTATTCAACAAAGGGTTTAAGAAAGTTATAATTTTTGGAACTTGATCTGGACAGCATGCACATATGGACCTAGGAAAGGGGGAAGATATTTATTAAGCTATGAAAATTACAGATGTACTTCTATCATAAGACACTTAAATATTAGAAATCTTTGGTTTTGGGTAAGAAAAATAACAGTTTGATTGAAATAATGCTAAAATTAAAAAATAATTTTTAATTTATTACAAAGTATAGAAACTCTTATATTCAGTGAACTCTATAAATATTATCTAACTTTTGTCACTCAATAAAGTCTTTTTAAAAGAAATGAATGGTTTTCTTTTTACACCCAATAATTCAGGAGTAAGAGTTTTAATCCCTACAATTTTCCTAATACGAAAGAAATTTCAGAATTTGACTTCACCTGCAAATTTTGTATACTACATGCACAGAATACACAAGCTGACACATGTTTGCATCTTTGTCACATGAGCAAAATTTAAGCTTACTGAAGCTAGGACATATTTTATTATCCTTGGCTCATTAAAATTTCTCCAAAGTTTGAACTCACCTTCAGCTGTAAGAAATTTTGATTATTAGAAATAAATTTTCCCTTCAGCTGTCTTATAGAGTTGTATATAGTTATTTACATTTATCTAAACAACAACAACAACAACAACAACAACAACAACAAACTTTTTGATAATGTTGAAAAGAGTTTCGAATTCTGAAGCTGTACAAAGTAAAAGCATATTTGTTCCTTCCCTTGGCAAGAGAAAATGACATTTGCACAATTTGGGTTTAATAAAGAGTCCTTTAAAAATTGGGCAAAACAACAACATTATTTTGGCATAGATTATTGTAAATGCTCTAGAAGATGAAATTTTCCAATTAATGGAATTAGTGAAGAAAGGTAAAGAAGTTATAATAAATGGAGATGACACATTAGAAATTTTCCATTAAGATGACAATGCCTTAATCAGCAATCAACTAATGGATGGCGAAATTTATAAGATTGGTTTTAAATTCAGAAAGTATTACTTCCAATAGTGAAGAAAGTGAGACAGAGGTTTTTGAGAATGAAAAATTTTCACTGAAAATTTTATGGGAATTCTGAATACAGCAATTACAGAACTTTAAAAATTATACTTTGTAATCGAACAAGAAATTGTATCTATTCATACAATTAGGAAAAAAAAAAAAGCAATAACGCACATACACACACACACACAAAAAAAAAAGACTGCCTTAAAAACTTACATTGAGGTATAAAATAAAAGAAATAAATATTCAGTTTTCTTTCCCCCTTTTTTGTAAACTTTGATTCCATTAAGATTAAATAATATTCCATTACTTCATAAACAGTTATTTCATATTTTAAATTTTATTATTTCTATATCTCACGTTACAAGATTCAAATAGATGCTCTAAAATCAGGAATCGTCAATGTCAAGATCTGGATCTCAGACTCAGATCCAGCATTCCAGTCTTAAGACTTTGTACTGTACATTAATTTTCTGAACACATATAAAATAAATATATATGTATATTAATTGTATATCAAATGCTGTATGATCTTAAATTCATTTAGTGCGAAAACAAGTTACTACTACTTGCGCAATTGCTGCAAAGTTAGTTAATAATAATTTATTTCCTAAACAATATTGATTAATTGATTATATTATCTCCTAAGTTTAATTAAAGTAGAATTATTTAAAAGAGTGAATCCATACTGGTAAGTTATATTTCGAAAGATGTTTTGAAGTAATTTGAAAGCAAAATGTTAATAATGTTTTAAAGGGGGACTAGAATTAAATCATCATGAAGAATAAAATTTCAATTGTAAAAGGAAAAATTAATCAAAAATGTAATCATTGTCATTGATCGGAAATTAAGTTGACTTTTCAAGGGGAACAAACCAACCTCCCGTTCAATTGAACAATAATTAATAAAATAAGTAAATACGAAAGGTGTTTCGTCTTTACTCGAGTTATAAGTTAAAGCCAAACCGGCAATTCTAGTCAGCCAAAATTTCCACGAATAGAAGGGATTATGAACCAAGCTGATACTCAAGAGACTTATTCTTATGAGCAATTTTAGTCAATTCAATTTGGAGTAAAAAGCAAATCTGTAGAGAATCGATAAAACTCGAGTAACCGTCCCCGACACCCTCATGTTTATGCATTTGAGTTCTATATTATTGTAAAAATTAAACATTGGAAATTGTCATGAAATAAAATTCAAAGTAAAGTTGAAAAAACATAGAAGATTACAAAAGATAAATAATGCAACTTTTAAAACCAATCAAAAATAATATTAAAAAAATATAAAAATAATATAAAAAATATAATAATTGCTTCATAAGAATAAGATCATAAGAATTGGCTAAAATGCTTCATAAGAATAAGTTCCTTGAGTATCAGTATTGGTTCGTAATCCCATCTATTCGCGGAAATATTTGGTTTAACTCGAGTAAAGACGAAACACCTTCGTATTTACGTATTTTTATTAATTATTGTTCATTGAACGGGAGATGGTTTGTTCCCCCTGAAAAATCAACTAATTTCCGATCAATGACAATAATTACATGTTTTTAATTTAATTTTTCCTTTTACAATTGAAATTTTGTTCTTCATGATGATTTAATTCCAGTCCCCGTTTAAACATTATTAACATTTTACTTTTAAGTTACTTCAAAACATCTTTCAAAATATAACTTACCAGTATGGATTCACTCTTTTAAAATAATTCTACTTTAATTAAACTTAGGAGATAATATAATCAATTAATCAATATTGTTTAGGAAATATAATTGTATACATATATTTATATTTAAAATTCATTTCCTGCCTATAATACAATTTATAAATATGATACATATGTATTTGTGTTTATTTATTTTTTTTTTAATATTTGTTTCCACTTAAATATATTGCAGTTTAAATTTAGACTTTTTGTTTAATAATAGAACATATAAGTAAATCAGCAGAAAAACTTAATTCTCATATTTGATTAGAAAGTCAAATAAAATTTACTTGCTTAACTTCTTTCTGCATAATGATCTATATCTGACTGAAACAATGATATTTAAACAATGATGGACAAATGATTTTTAAACAATGGTATGAAAGCTCATGATATTTTTGTGCATGGTAAGTCAGAAATGTACCTTTTTTTATAGGCTCTTTACAAGCATTAGATTTCTACTTTGCTACCAAAATTCTTGGCTACATAGTAGATATTGCAGAGATTGTGAATCAAAATCATTCAAAAACAGATTAAGAAAAATTTGATGTAAAGTGCTTGAAAATTGCAATGTTTACGATACGTCTTTTTAAATGTTAGAAAACATTACAGAAAGTAATTATGTGATTATCATTGTTGTTAAAGAATGATTTATTAACTATATAAATAATCAATTTAATAGGTCTCTTCTTTGTGCCTCAAAAGCTTTTGGTTATTCAGAAATTAAGATGTATGGTTCTGAGCATTAATTCAATAGATCATTAGATACATGCTTTAAAACTATTAGGCCAACAGTATGCAAAATAATAAAATACAGTTACACCTTGACTCCTCCTTATTTTTTGGAGGGAAAACAATACAGACTTCAAAAATAGAATTTAAAAAAAAAAAAAAAAAATAGACTTCAAAAAATAGTGAAATTCATGAAATAAAAAATACTTTCTAAAACTGAATTTAAATCTGACAGACTTCTTCTTTCAATCACATAGCTAATAAACAATAATTACTTTCAAACTAAAATAGTTCACCTTCCTAATGCAGCAACAGCTTCCGGATACTTGTCAGATTCTTCCATCATTATCCAATAGCCACTTTCAGTCATACAGCTAACTACAACTTCTTCTTTAACACACAAGAGGAAGTTTTTCATAGCATCAATGGCAATTCTATAACAAACTTAAATATGTTAATAAATAAGTAACACTTACCATATTTGACAGCCAGCATATAAGACGCACTTTTTTCCTAAATTTGGTCTCAAAAAAGTTACCTGCGTCTTATACATGAAGGTAATTGCATTCAATAATTGTTTATTTGGCTTTTAAGAAACATGAGAACTAAAAGAAATCATGCTATTGAAACTTTTTTCCTTGTGTGTGGCCGTCTACATAAGGGTGCGTCTTTTTTGCCGTTAAATACGGTATTTATTAACATGCTTACACACATGTGTGCATCTTTTCTGAATTTATTTTAATCCATTTTAAATTTAAAAAAAAATTCTTATGGATTTTTGTTTTTGATTCTGTAAATTAATTATTGATACAAATATTTCACAAAATGTATTTCCATTCTCTTTTACAGAATATTGAACACGAATTACCACTATCATTATTAATTTTACGCTATGAATATAGAGTCAATAGAAGCTTTTATATGCTTAAAAAAGTTGTTATTATCAACAGGACAGAAAACCAAGAACCATATGAAGATTTATGAGCTTAATTAGCTTATCAACAAAAGTATAAAATTAAGTCCTTATTTTTTTTTTTTTTTTTTTTTAGTTTCACATTTAGGAGCTTTACCCCTATCTAACAGTAGTTTAATGTTAGCTATGTGTTATTTCACTGGAAATGGGGGAAAACGTTCTTTCGGTTAATTATTGAGAATTTCTAAAGGATTGCTCAGCACTATATTTCAAATGTGGATGTTGTTGGACTAATATGTAATGAGGAACTCTAGAGAGGCAATATATATCCTACAGGCAGAGGAGGCATTAATAAATAACTGGTCAATAAGGACACACTTTAAAATAATTTCACAGTGCAAAAATATTTTAATAAATAAACACTATCTTGATTACAGAACATTGTATAACTTTACAAAAATCATAAAGAATGTCATCAATAAATTTTTCATATACATTATTGGGAATGTGTACACTCTGGTGTCTCATGGCAGTAATTACAGACAGGCATGTATGATCTCGTGAATTAAGAGCTGACAAAAAACTCATTTGATTCTCCCAACTCAAAAAGGCTATAATGCTAATTTCACAATGCTTGGATTAAAGGGAATATTATCACAGGCAAGTAATATTAGTCAGGTTTGGAGAGTATTAAATACTCAATGACCAAGCATATGTCTTGTTAAACCTTCTCACTTTCTATAACAGAATCTGCAAGGAATGGGTTTTCTTAAATGCACAGAATAAAGTTATTTATTCTGTGCATTTAAGAAATAAAGTTATTTAAATAATAACAGAATAAACATGAATTATGTGCACAGAATTCTTTTTCTGTCTGACCAGCAAGAAAAGAATTCTGTGCACAGAAAGAAGTTATTTATTTTGTTAATAAAAGTTATTTATTCTGTGCATCTGCGTTTGAATAAAGTTATTTATTCTGTGCATCTGTGTTTGAAGGTAATAAAGATGATTTAAATAAAGTTCTTTCAACAATGAATTTTATTGATCCTGCTATTCAGTTCACTTTTGAACTTGAGACTTGCAATTCTCTTCCGTTTCTCGACATTCTGGTCACACGTAACACATCCAACTTCAGTACTACGGTTTAACGTAAACTTTCATCAGTTTGCCTTCCACCACACTTTAAATCATGTCATCCGAGTAAACAAAAGTTAGCTTCATTCTATTCCTATGTTTTCCGTGCTCTTCAAGTTTGCTCCTCCAAACTATCCCTTGATAAAAAACTAAATTATTTAAAAGCAATAGCTGTTGACAGGGGCTTTTCACCAACATTATTAATCAAGCAGTTAAAAAAATCTCATCTCAACACACTAAAAGGCACACTCTTGTTTTAGGAGATTATAAAAATTCTGTTGTCATTCCCTTCTTTCCATCAGTTAGCTATAAAGTTGCATATATTTTGTAGAAATTTAACTTTCGGGTCGTTTATTCTCCCATCAATAAAATTCCGAGTTCCATACTCAAGGACCCCATTCTGGATATGAATTCCTGGGGTATTTATAGGATTCCTTGCCAGTGTGGTTTAATTTACATTGGACAAACTAAGAGAGCCTTAAAATTTCTGTCAAGGAACATAAGGCATATGTTAGAAAAAAGTAAAAACAGAAGTCTTCTGTTGCCCAACATTGTTGGTCCGAAAATCACACTTTCAATTTTTCTGCTGCCAAAATTATTCAAAAACATCTTCCATTGGAGAACTGGATTTTTCTAGAGGCATTTTCACATTCAAAAAAATCTTTCTGTTCCTAGTTAACGACCCTAATTCCAATCCATCTTTGCCTTCAGCCTTTAAAGAAATTATGTTTCAAGTTCCTGGTTTTCATCAACAGATGGCGCCAGTAGCGTTACTCCTGTCCAGGCTTTGTTATCTTATCTGATCACTATATCTTATCTCGTTCATTTGCGCTTTTGCAGCTGACAATGGTGGTTCAGTAAAACCATCGAAACTAGTCCTGTGAAAATTTGAAAATATAAAGCTGATTTTTGTTGTTTGACTTCTGAATTATTTATATCCCTTTATTAAAGGAGATTAAGCAAAGAATCATGCTAAATATATCACAAATAAAGTGCACTCGTAAATTGCTTTTGCAAAACTATGGGGAGAAAAAAGGTTACTATCCATTTTGCCTATAACAAAAGCATAATAGTCTCCTTTCTTTATAATAAATGTTTCTGAAAAGGTTGATAACTTCTGACAATTTTTTAAACTGAAATAGCTATTAGAATTGGTGTTAAAAATCACTCAGTTTCCATCTATATTTTGATATGAAGATATACAACAAGACACTGATCGTATAAAATACTTTACCACTTATATTACTATGACAGGAGCATTAACCTATCAGTTTTCATAAGAATATTTTGAAAGCCGGGGCATTTCATGTAATGACAGGTTCTCTGCTGTTTAAGGATTTCATTCAAAATACATACTGATAATATATGCATATATATACAGGGTGTCTTAGTACCATGTTTTAGAACTTCTAGCAAGGGTAGTGTGCGCTTGGTGATTCAGAATCATAGCAATGCAGTCTTTCCCGATGTGCTAGTGCACACAAAATCATCAGAAATTAAAAGATAAGCTAGCTAAGTTAATGTTTGTTTTAATAATAAATTTACAGGAACAAAAAGTAGCATGAGTCAAAGATAGTGTTCAAAGTTTTCTCCACTGATGCCTCCTATCTATGGCGCATGGAATTCTGAATATTCTACATATCTCGAATTTCCCCAGCAGCTACTGCGATTTACGCAATCAGCTTCTAGCCGATGTCAACAGGGGCATCATAAATCAGTTCATATGCTCCCTTAAAAAAGAAATCAAGACATGATAGTTCCGGTGGTCGAGCAGGCCAATGCAACGGAATACAGCATCCGATTCACTGTTGGCCAAATCTAACATCTAGGTGGGTGCGAACTTTATAGCTGAAATGGGAAGGGGCCCCATCATGTTGGAACCACACTGTCTGTTACAACCGGTTAGACCAAAATGCAAGTAAGATCCAATGAGGTGATCCTCCATAATGCTGTCTCAAACTTTAACTGAAAACCGACTCTGCACTGCACAGTATCGTGTTGCATGAGGGTTCTCTACCACCTAAAAATGGATGCTATATGTGTTCAATATTCCTTCCCTTGTGAAAAATGCCTCTTGGTGAATAGCACATTAGCATGGAAATGGCGACCCGTAGAACACTTTCAAAGACAGCATTGTGCGAAAGCATCATGAGGAGCATAATCGCCTGACTGTTATGCTGGACATGATATGAATGCATTTCGTTTTCTCCGAGAATACTTCAGATGCTGGAATGGGAAACATCGACTGTGTGCACTACACTTCACATACTCAAACTTGGAGTCAACTGTACTGATTCAGCACATTCTCTTCAATTTCCGAATTCCATGCTGAACATGCCCAATTCATGGCAGCTTTTTAAAAGGAGCCTGTTTCAGCTAACCTTCAGTGCAGCCTTGCAAAGATATTATGGTTGGGTGTACACCTCATAGGACTCGTTTTGCGTACAAGTGCTACATGTCTGGCCTACTACAATCTGCAGCCTCATTATGCCAAATGCATATCAGCTAACTCCAAGTTTGTATAATTATAATTCCTACTACCGTAATTTCCAGAAGAACACCACAGCGTTGCTACCCATGCGGCGTTTAGGTACACTAAAAATAAAATATTTCCTATGATGGTCATTTCCTATGGATGGCCTTGTCATTGTGCATAGGCTGGTGCTGTTCCCACACAAAAGACCACTCAGTTGCTTTTTGCAAAGGTTATTTTGTTTACATTCTTTCCCTTGAATGGACCTACATGTCTTATTTAGCCTAAACGGGATTTCAAAACAATAACATTCTTCCCCCTTTCAAATCAACATTGTCATCAGTGTGAATAGTCTCTCTTCTCTGCCATTTGATGAATCTTCCAGGACCAATCCTCTCACCACCCTTGCCTTTTTCTGCAATTTTTTTTAAAGGCGGACACGACTCCACCTGACTCGCAATAACGAACTCTGACGCATTTCCTCTTCAGCAAGAATTGATTTTTCTTGGCATTCTGCCAGAGACAGATACCATCAGTTTGGGTACAAGTACTTGTTCCATAGTTTTTAAGTAAGAAAGGAGCGGAAATTTTTTGAAAATGGCACCTACATGGCACAGAAACTATACTGCTGGTTTTAAGCTTAATGTAATTTCACGAGCTGAACTAATTGGAAATAGAGCAGCAGCTCGAGAGTTTGAAGTGGACGAGAGATGTATTCAACGTTAGAGAACTGAAAAAGAAGAACTTAAAAATATGCCACAACAGAAACAAGCCAAAAGACGTGGTACTGTAAGGTGGCCGAATCTAGAGGACGACCTTGCAAACTGGATAACGGAGCAATGAGGAAAGGGAGGGAAATGGGATTTCGACTGTAAAATTCGCTTAGAAGCAAATTTATAGCAAAACAAATGAAC